CACTTCTTCAGCACAGGCTGGCCACCTGTGTTGGAATGAGTGTGCATTTTGGTCAGTGTAAAAGCCCAAGCCTCATACGATGTGAGGGAGGCAGAGCCTCTGCGGGGACGCCCGCTAAGGTTGAGCCTGCCACCTCGCACTGCAATGATGCTTCTCGGAGCCGTTTTTCTGTTAGCCTCCACAGGGTCCTTGTGCCACGTTCTGTATGTGGGACTGTAGTGGGAATAATGATGGCTTTTGCAGGGACTAAAAAAGAAAAAAAAAAACACACAAAAAAAAGAGGGGGGGAGCGAGAATAATGATGCTGCACTTAACCTGTCTAACCTGTCTACTTCTCAAGAACTGAAGAACTGACAACCTGGGGGAGGAGGTATATTTGTGTCCTCCTGCCTACAGGTCCATGGCGACTGCCTGCAGTTGTGAAGCCTTGCCATGAGCTGGACAGACGAATGGAAAAACCTGATGCCCTAGCTACAGGAGTTGACCGTGAATACCCCAAGCAGAATGAGATAGAGGAAGAGAAAAACGAATGACTGCAAAACATCACTTGGGGGCAACTGAAAAGTAACATCCTGAATATGTGTGCTTGTAAAGTAGCTATTATTAGAGGTTGTGATTTTGTGTATAAAACCACCTGTATTTACTAGCTAGTTGCTAACAAGAAACTGCACCTTGTATTGTATAGATTTGTCACTTGTAAAAAACATGTTAGAGTATGGAAATTTGCAGTAGCTGCTAGAAAATGCTAAGGCAAAAGCTAGAAAAATTTTAATACAATGGTAGTGTTACAAAGCAGGTGGTGGAACAAATTAAGAGGGGGGGAGAATTCCACTGGTAAGAAATTTCTTTGGCTAGTCCTTCACTGCCATCAGCAAGTGAGGAGGGGCAACCATGAGTGAAAACGGTGAGGGGAGAGCAGGGGCAACCATGAGGGGGGATTGTGGGGGGAGAGCAGGGGGGACCATGAGTAAACATCAGGATGGGAGAGAAGGGATGGCCATGAGGAAAAATAATGAATTGAGAGTAGGGGCAATCAGGTGGGATCGTGGGGGGAGAGGAAGGGCAGCCGTGAGGGGGGATCATGAGGGGAGAGCAGGGACGGCCATGAAAGGGGATCATGAAAGGAAAGCAGGGTCGGCCATGAGTGAAAATCATGAGGGGAGAGGAGGTGCAGCCATGAGGGTGGATCGTGAGGGGACAAGAGAGGCAGCCATGAGGGCTGAGGGTTTATTGTAAGGGAAGAGCAGGGGCGGCCACGAAGGAAGATCGTGAAGGGATAGCTGAGGATAGAGGATAGAACTGATGCTGAGGAATGATTGTGAGGGGACAGGAGAGGCAGCCATGAGGGGTGAGGGTAGAATGGGGGCAGTCATGAGGGAAGATTATGAGGGAAGAGCAGGGGCAGCTGTGAGGGAAGATCGTGATAGGAGAGCAGGGGTGATCTCGAGTGAAAATCATGAGGGGAGAGAAGCGCCAGCCCTGAGGGGTAGGGGCAGCAGTTATGCAGTTTGGGCCACTAGGAGGGGGCAGATGAGGGGTGGCTGTGACTGGAGATCATGAGAGGCAGCCATGAGGGTGATCAGTTTGCCCTTAGTGACGTGGTTTAGTGGTGGGATTGATAGTCCTGGGGTAATGGTTGGGCTCTGTGACCTTAATGGTCTTTTACAGCCTGATTCTGTCATTCTGTGAGTCTGTGAATTGGAACAAGGTGGGGCAGTATCAGGCATCAGATAATGCTAGGTGCCCAGACAGTCAGGTAAAGAACTGTCTTATGAAATACCTGCACAATGATAATAAAGTTCTACCTGATACACTGAAAGAAGAAACCAGAAAATTGATTTTGTTTCTCCATTTGTAGGCAGTTACATGGAAATGTAACTGCAACTCGCTTGCTGAAAGCGCATACAGCTATCCTTTCTTATTTTTCAAATTTTGCTGGTAGTGAAGATCTAAGTAAAATGAATCTTTTTTTTTTTTTTTTAGGAAACTAGAAAAAATAATTATTCAGCTTTTAAAAGGATCTTCTTTATCCCAACTACTTCATTGCTGCCTAAACTAATAAATCCGCGGTCCCTCTTGAGCTTTTAGGAATTGTCCCAGTTTCATTTCACGCAGACGACCTGCCCTGAAGGTTATTTTAAAGCCATCGCAACATCAGGTTCAGACATAATGACACTCTTATCACAGAACATTCTGCATTGACTACAAAATGGGGATATGAACTTATCTTCCACTGTGGCATAAAGATACAATTAATATGTCTTCTAAAGCTCCAGGAGACAGTAAACTTCCTGATACACTGAGCAAAACATATAATTCAGTAACAACTGTTTTTACTAGGCATGGCAGCATGTTCCAGAAACAATTCAGCAGTGTATCATAACAACAAAACAATTTAATAAGCAGAGATGCTATGAAACAGAGCAAGCTGCAAAAAAGATCTCACTTCTTTCCTTGGTGGTTCTGTACCAGTGCCTTATTTTACATTACCACATCGCATCTGAACCCACATTGACCTGTATAACTCGTGTCACTGCATTATTGAGGCTCTCTGGTGAGCACATGAAGCTTGCTTTCTGCTCCTTTTCACTACTGTGTTCTCTCAGTTTTCTGAAGGATAGCATCACGCTGGGGTCACACAATGAGAAAAGCCCTTGGTGCTGTCCTCAACATTAGAAGTATGACACCCCATGGGGTACCTCTGGTTCCCGTCACAGCTGCATCTCAGCTTGCGCACCAAAGCATGCATTCCCTCCTTTTCCATTGGCCTGGTAGTGGGAACATAGCTGGGTGACAGTCATGCCTCAGCTGGACGTGGGTTGTCAAATGGTAGGATGGTCACCTCGCTGTGCTATGAGGTGACCTATGAAGTGTGTGGTGTGTGTCTGTCCCCACCTTCATCATAGCTTGAGCAGGGAAATGGGTACGTGAGTTTCTCCCTCAGTCCCGCAGTTTACGTTGGCATAATCCCAGTACAGTAAATAGAACTAAAAGATCAGAGGATGAGGCTCATTGTCGTCTGTGTCTCAGAAAAAAAATAGTTAATGTGGACTGAATGTATTTTCTTTGATCAAGGGGAGATGTTCAGTAATTTTTGGCATTATACCATTATACAAATACAGAGTAAAGATGCCTAACTGGTGATTCAAGTCACAGCATGAGCTGCATGTCACTGATGCTTGTGGCAAATTCTCATTAATAAAGTTCTCCTTTCTAAACTTCCTTTCAGTTATTTTGCAATTTCCTCTTATGTCCCTTAATACGGCTTTGCTTCTGATTTCCCCTACTGGGTCTTGGTGTCATTTACATGAAATACCCTGGGTGTGAACTTTCCTCTCCTTATCTGCATGCTATTTCACAGTGTCCTTTGATTTGCACTGCCCTTCCAATGACTTTGTAAGATTTGAAGGACAGAAATTTCCAAAGAAGGTGGCAAAAAATTATATGTTAATGCCGTTCCCTAAACTGTGGCTCATAGACGTGAGTTCGCACTTAGCCTGCTGCTGCGAATTTGAGACAGCTGCTTCCCCAGCTCCAGAACACGCTCTTAGCATCTCTGATGTTACCTACTCTTCCCTAGTAACCTTATGTTGGTTCAGCCAGCACTTCTGCTACTCACTGTGCTTTTAAGGTTAGTGGACTGCATACTTTTATTTAATATGTCATTGTAATTTTCAACAATCATGGCCCTAGCTATGTTGCCATCCTAGGTTTGTCATCAGTTACCTGCTAGACAGCACACGGCAGTATTTTACAGTATTATGCCATTACTGAAGCTCATTTCTAATGTACTCTATCCCCTTTCTAACTGTAACTCAAGGCTGGCTGCAGCTGTTATGTGGATGGAAGGAGAAAGTTGGGAGGAGACATGTGGTTAGTCTTCCAGCATGTAATTAGGAGCATATTCTCCCTGGGCGGCTCTGACTGAACCTCCTCAGCAGCCTTTTTTCAGTTTCTGACTTGAAACAGAAGTTAGTAATCCAAATTAGCAATATATTTTTGTAGGATAGTTTGTTTCTTAGGACAGTTTCTGTAGTCAGAAATGGCTAAATTACCTGTATGGAGGTAATCTCAAAGTATACAAAGACTACAGATAAATTATCACTATTTTGTCCCCAGATTTTAGATGCAGAGACAGGTGAAGAAAACCAAACATTCCATTCCATAGAATTTTATGATACTTTTTTGTTTCTCAGTATTTGCACTAAAGCTGGGTAAAGAGTACATTTTGTTATATCCCTTTAAGTTTTGGGTTTTAAATAAATACAAGTAATTACTCTTCTACACTGAGCTTTCTCAACTTCCTGAAGAAATTAGAGGAGGAGGAGAAGAGTCCCAAACTAGCCAGTGGTTTGGGTTTGGAGGAGAGTACCTAGGATGTGAAAAACTCTTCCCTGAACTGCTGTATCCATGGCTGGTCTCTTGGTACCACTGTTTGGAATTGCAACACTTTGTATAGATAATTAAATATCCACTGGGGCAGGCATTTGAGTCTGGATCAGTATTGACTGAATGCCTCAATCATTCAGCAATAGAGCTGGTCCATCTCTCTCAATGTAGCTACTACAGTTTGTAGAAATAGTTAATTATTGATCCGATCACAGAGGCAGGATATTATTAAGGTATCACACTGTAAATATTCTGCATACATTTTACACTTACTCTTTCCACTTCAAAGAGCTAATAGGTAAGTCAGATTCAGCCTCCCCAGATTCTTGTCATACATGTGCTCATCATTGCCTGGGCAACTTTGGTGAGCTCTTGGTTTTAATACCCACATGTATAAAATGGGAGTAATAACACATGTGAAGAGACAAAACTGAAATATTTGAAACACATTATGGAATGTTTGGTTGATACACAAATACATCTGCTATAACCATCAAAGCTTTGGTAATATTTTTTGAAGAACAAGATTTTTTGTAGATTGATACCTTAAATTCCTGTGAATGCACTTATGTCATCATTGTTTTTTTTGTGCATACTGAAAAGTCAGGGCAGGTCTAAATGTTCCCTTATTTTCTCTGATATTGAAAAAAAGAAAACAGATTGTGGATGTCAAGAACCAGTGCTGAAATGGTTAAGAAAGTAAAGCAGAATAAATTTCAACACAGTAAGTGTGACTTGAATGTCTTATTTTGAAAAGAGCAGCTGCCTCAGCCCTATCCTGATAGCTTCCAGCTAGTCTGGGGAGCTTGGACAAGATAAGCCCTGCCTTGAAGGCACAAGAGAGCCTCCCAGGAGCTGCATGCAAAACAAGGACAAGGTGAGGTGTACCCAGTGGTAGGTACCACAGATTACTTCATCTCTCTGTGTCAGAACTATTTGAAAGTGTGAGGAGGTTTTGTTTTTTTTTTTAAATTATATTTATTAGCATATGATACAATCTCCATTCCCCCGGCAGCCTCTCCTACTGTCCAAAAACCATCAGAAATACACAACACCTGCTGTGGCATTATTCCCCAAGCAAGCAAGGGGGAAGGACTTCTGAGGAAAACAAGGCAAATAATTTGGGCCTGCGGGATCTGCAGTTTGGGAATGTCAGTCAAGCTTACTATTTCTCTTCTTTGGAGAGAAAAATGTTCTTCTCCTGTTTCCCAGGAAGGAACAGCTGCAAGAACTGAAAGTATCTGCATCAATTTTCCTAAGTAAACACGGGAATATTTAGTTTCAGCAAAACCAGATGGTTTATGCCTTGTGAATATGCTGGCATTTGACACCAGCAGCCAGAGTTTCACAAAATGTGTGCAGAGCATTAGAAAGAACTCCTTTAAACTCAGGGACCCAACACAAGAGTTGAAAGTTATGAAGGTTTTAGTAATAATAGGCTGACAAAAAAAAACCCAACAACCTTTATCTAGGTATCTCCAAGTGCTGTCTCAATATTATTAATCAGACTGCATAACAGTCCATGAAGTAATTAAATTTTGATACAAATTTCTCACAGAGGATTATGTTAAAGATGAGAAGGTAAGTTAGTTCCTCTGGGTTATGCAGTGAGTCACAGTCTGGTCTCATGAGTGCTCTGACCATCCCACATGTCTCTTGCTAAAGCATCTTTAGTGTGCTGTGTCCTCACTCATATTCCCAGGACACAATTTTTAAACGTGAAACCAGTACTGTTAATAGCACAGGGACAGGATAGTGGTGTACGCAACATGCATGGCCATTGCTGGGGCATCTGTGTGCTCTATGGGGAATTTATAGTATTCACACTGAAGAGATTTGTGAACAGCCCTCAAACCTCTTGCTAATGGCATTTGCAATGGGTTTTAAGTGTCTGAAGATGCTTATTTGGTGATTTTTATTGCTTTGTGTTGTTATTGCTTAACATAACTCTGTAGTAACAAGGCATCTATTTTCTACCAATCTGAAAGTGGTTTTCAATCAGTAATTAACCTAAGGAATTCTGATAGGTACACTGTTTTGTTGAGCTGCTGGGAGCCTGATGTGGTTTGCTCAAGATTACTCATGGCTTGCAGAGCAAGGCTATGAGGATTTTAGGCCTTGTGGTCACTGACGACTGCAGCACATGTTCCTGAGCCAAATCCAACCCTGCTGAATCCTCATCATCTGCTGCATGTAAAAATAGGCTTGGGAAGGATTTCTTTTTACTTGTAATTTCAGAGTGAATCTGCCCACAGAAGCACATCAGTTTTCTGGATCACTTAGTGAAATGCATATTTACTGTGAATCACTAGGTCCTGCCTTTAAGTCCTACACCTGTGAACCCTGAAGTACATCCTGGTTGCAGGACACAACAGAAGTCTGAAGAAGTCTCCTTGGGTCTTGGGTGTCTCCTTCAGTTTCCAGGAGAGAAGCTGTCTTGTGCTCTGGCTTATCCTGTTGTCTGCATGACAGAGGGTGTGCCACTGGGCGCACCTCCCCTGCAGTGGAGGCAATGCTATAATTTAATATACTTCATGATCAGCACTTTAAGAGTTTGAATTTGCTACTTCTCCATTATGTAATTACATAATAGTAATAATAACAACTAACACATGGAGTTTGGCTGTTGCTCGTTATGTAAATTAGAGATATTTAGCAATATCTTACAAAATGGATACATGTATTTCAGAGTGAGGTTACTTTGATTCAGAAAAGAATAAAAAGGAGCTATTGGGAATTGTTATTTTATAAAGAAAGAACTATTTAGTTATAACTCTTTGTCTCCTGGGGCATTCACTAGCATTCAGACTACAAGGCTTCAAGGTGTTTAAATTCAAACAAACAAACAAATAAGCAGACCCACCCCACAGTATTCTGTGCCTTTTTAGAGAAATTCAGATACTTTACTTAGATTCCAAACCAGAAGTGTGAGGAATTTGAGCCTGAATTTAGGTAAAGTAACATGAATCACTAACAAAACATGGAAGAAATCACTAATCTTTAGGTACAAAAGTACATTTTAGTTGTTAGTCTGCTCATAAGAAGCAGATACTCTCTATATTTAAAGTATACTCCAGAAGAATTGAAAGGAAATTTAAAGTCAAATTTAGATACCAAAATGTGTCAGATACAATTTGATACAAGTCAAGGAAACACATGCTGCTCATCTCTATTAACTTATGTGGTATTTTTATTACCTATCATGTAATCTAATTTATCCTTCTTGTTCCAAAAATAGTTCATCTGCATACATTATGGCTCAGAAGAGTAGGAGTTGGGAGAGACCACATCGTTGTAGACTCGTAACAACGGGTCACACTGAGAGGTTTAAGCCTCAAGTCAGCAAATCCTAGACTTACTCTGAAAGCCTGGGTAGGCTTGGCTAAGAGGAGGCCATTAGCTGTTGTACGTGGAGTCTAGGGGGTGTATACTGTGGCCCCCCAAAAGCATATCCCAAATCTGTGGAAACACATATGACCAGAGCTGGCTACACAACACTCTTGGTGATTTCAACACCAGTTGAAGGTGTTCTCTCCGAGCTCCGGCTGTGACTTGCCATCCCTGCAGTCGTGCTGTTGTATCTGTGTGATTGCACTGCAAGCCAGATGTCTACAGTGGTTCAGATGAATGACAAACCCATCTGGCTGTCCAGGAAGCACTAGCTTTAACCCACGTTGCTTTGAGTGACCTGGTGTATAGCACATCTCCCAGCACGCCTCAGCTCAGCTGAGAAGACTGATGACCATCGTATGAGGATGAAACTAGCAGTGGCAAACCATGGAGGGGGACTGGTTGAAGAGCCTGCCTCCCAGAGTGATGGTGTGGTGTAGCTGTACCTGGTAGAAGGCTAGGGGAGAGGCTGCAGCCCTGAGCTGCTCCTCTCGCGTGCTACTGAGTCATTGCAGAGCTTCAGATAAGCTTTATGTGCCTCAGCCTGCCATCTGCAAATCAGTGATAACAAAATTTAAATAATTCAGAAGCGCATTGTGAGCCTTAATGAGGTTTGTGATATGTTTTGGACTCCTTACATGCGGCAGTAGTGCAGAGTTTAAGGTATCGTAGTTACGGAGCACGTTGCTAGTAGTGCTGTCTTCCTTTAATATTCTCTGCAAACTCCCTCTTTTCTTACTTTATCAGTGCTTGGCTTTGGTGTCATTGTGTTGCTTGGACACCTTCTAATTTAAATTTCATATTTTGGTTCCTGGGTGATAACTTCAAACACCAATTTTCTTCTGCTATGCTATACAGCCTTTTTCTCATTTTAATGAAACCTAGCAACCATCATGTAAATTGGGAATAACTACAGCCCATTAGACTATTGAAATCCCTGAAGATTTGAATTATTCACTATTAACAGAACTTGTATAATTATAGGTTAAGATATCACTTAGGCATTTAGCATACATCAGCTCCACTGTTAATTTTTAGCTCTTGATCTGTATTAGTAACCTCAGCTTGCTAAATTAAAGGATATGCCTCCAATTAGCCTAAATTTAACATTCAAGAACACATCTCTGGTGGGATGATGCTTATAAGTTTAGAACATCCAGGCAATTTCAGCTCAGCTACTGGGGCTCTATCACAAGTGAAAGAGAAAACATTTTTTTATAAACACTTCCATGACTTTCACAGGGGCAGAGCAAAAGGACAAAGCTGCATTTTGTGTGAGGCCCAAAGCCAAAAGGATGACAGGCACTATGGTCCTCTGCCCCTCTAAGGATCCCCCAGAAAGCCTGTACCTAGGGCAGAGGCAATCAGGTCATTGAATGAGACCCTCAGAAACCAAACACTGAGTCTGGAGCTGTCTGATGCAGGGAACAAGAAAATACTGAGATACATATAGAAAGACAGGAAAAGAGAGTGCTGATGTAGTTAAAGAAACAAACCAAAACACCAACCAACCACCACACCAAACAGCAAACCACAAAAAGACCTTACTCTCCTAAGAACCTTGCCTGTTGTTTAACATAGCAGGGGTAGGACACTTCTGCCTGGATGCAGTACATGTTAGCCACATACCTTTTGTCTTTTTATTCTGACAGCAGCAAGCTTACTTTCTGTTTGCTAAAGTGTAAATTAGCTCTTCTGTTTTCTATTCTATTCCACCAGGAAGGAAAGATTCCCGGTAATCATATGTGTATTTTCCATACCTTTAAGACCTACTTTAAATTATTAGCTTCCTCTGCATAATCCTACGCAATGATACTTCCACTTGTGGCAAACCTTTTTAAAGTATGTTAGCTAGGAAATGGCATAGGCTTTTGTACAGATGATTATGAGCCTGTTTGTATATACTGGTCAAAAGCTGGACTGTAATCTTAAAGGTTTTCAGCCTTGGACAGCACTCAGAAAAGATACACCTTTTGACAGTGTCTTCTCAGATGTACATGAATGCAATAAATAAATTTCAGTGAACGTCAGTGAGCTTGTTAATGAACAGAAATGCAGTACACTTGGTAGCTGTATAATTGTGTCATAATTCCAAAAAATGGTTGCTAATATTGATGAGTGTCTCCATAGGAAAGCTTTGGGCGGTACGAAATCCTCTTGCTGGGAAAGCTTCTTACAAACTTATAATGGCAACCATTACAGAGAAAGGAGAAAGCACTAAACTGGAAAATGCTATTAAAGTTGTAGTAGAATTCAAATTATTCAAAGCTTATTCATGTCCCTCATACAGCAAAACTTGTCGTGAAGTATGGTTTTTACTGGAAACAATTGGAATTGAAAGATTATACTACTAATACCTGACTTTGTTGTACCTGGAACAAATGAAAAAGAAAAAAACATTTTCAGCTGACAGCACACTGAGGATTTTACCAGTTTTCTTTCACCTAGGAGATGGAGATTTATCATCTAAAACGTTTTGTCATGTAAAGCAGTCACTTTAGTGTGTATATAGTTACAGTTAGACCTCCAAAAATAGGTAGGTGCCTCAGTCATAAATAGTTCCTTCTGGAAATGCCAGATTCCACAACTGTGGTGTCCACAGTCACGCTATCAGCAGCCTCTGAGTGAAGTCTTTGATTGGTAAATCTCAAATTCATTACATCCTCCATGTTCTTGCAGTCCTGTTTCTAAGCATGTCCAGGGGTAGCTCAGCATGGGCAGTGCTGATACCTCAACATCTCTGTTTCATGAGGTTCCATGAACACATTGTTCCCTTATCTGTATTGCTTATCCCTGATACCAGGATTATTTGTGTTCTATATACAGAAGATGCCATCTAATATAAAATCCAGTAACGGCTCTGAGAGTAAGGACCAATGTTTAGGTGCCCTACTGTGCAGCACATTGCCCTGACCTCTTGTCTAAGCCCCACGACTCTGGCAGCCAAGTGCCTACAGGTTAACTTCACTAGCAGGAGGAAACGTTTCCCTCTTTCTCAGACCATGCCATCAGCTGGGGATTACAGCATCCCTGGGGAGCGTCATATATCTTCAGCCCAAATCCCATTTCCTGGGTGTACCCTTTAGCTGATAGGTCATTCTACAAAATTGGCCATCACTACCACAGCTTTGTTTTTAAAATGTCCTCCTGCTAAATATTAAGCTAAGGAGAGGAGGTGATAACCAGCATGCAAAAGGAGCAAGCCCCCAGCCTCCTGAGCAGGACAAGAATTCAGCAAGGTGATGGGTATCTGACTTAAGCTGTCCCTGTTCTGAGCTGGGGGGATTGGACCCCATGAGCCTACATGGCTCTCTGTACACCTCTGCATAGTACTACCTGCAGACTAACTCACTGCAGCTCCCTGGGATTTTCCTGAAATTTATTTATTGAATTTATACATACATAAGAGGACACTGTCAAAAGGTGTATCTTTCTCAGACTGAAAACCTTTAAAGCATGTGGGATTTTTCATCACTCTTTGTAAGATTCTTGTCTTACTCCTTGGTTGTAGGGGAAGTCTGAACACCTGCCTTGAGTGCTTTCAGTTACCCCACATGGGCAGGGACCTGCTTCTCAGCCCTTGCAACACCTCAGTAGAGCTACATAAGCAGGCAATCCAGCCTCATCCTCTGCCTCTCCTTGTGTGGGTTTATCTCTGAATCCTTGCAGATTTCTCTTTAAAGCTGTCGAATATTAAAGGAGTTTGGATTTCTCTCATCTGCGCTGGAATTTTACCTTTAATTACTTAGAACAAAGATTTTTCCTACTCTAATTAAACACCTTTTGCCTAAAGTGTTGACTATCTGTGTCTTGGCATGATCATTTACTTTAAAGATTTTAAAAGCATTTTCCCTTCCAGGCTTCAGGTAACTTGCTAGTGACAACATTCAAACATTTAGTTCTTTTCTCTCATTAAGCCTGTGGATTTCCAAAATATTTCTGGAACATGATCTTACAGTTTTCTTCCTCCTTCCCTTTCAACCCAAATACAAGAGAAAGTACAAAATACAAAACCAAAATGTTTTCCCTTGTCTGACTTGGATTTTTTTGGGTGGCAGGAGAGTGGAAGGGGTGAATACAGAGTTCATTAAAACAGCGATAGCAGCAGTCAGAAGTAGAACAGGCAGGTACAGTACTGCCCAGCTGCTGTAATCTTTTACATTTGACCTTCTGCTCAGCCTTACTAGGTACATCTGCGCTGTGAGGTGGAAGAATGAGCCAAGCTATTAACAAGTCAAGTTGCTAAGGCTTCCTCACACAGCATCACACCGTGAAGGAGAAGCTGCTCTGTGCAGAGTGTGGTATAACTGCTGCCCAGTTAGCATCTCACACTGTTTCCTTAAATCCTTTTGTCCCAACGGCACCCATACACTGATTAGTAAGGAGGTTAGAGCTGGCAGAAGTTACGTGAGAAAGTGTGAGAGAAGTCATACGAATGTGTCAGTAAAAGTAGGACAAGGACTAATTTTTTGCTTGTTTTCGTACTTTCCAGGGCATTGCATTTCTCATTACACCACCCTCTGCTAGTGGGTGAATTGCATCAGTGCAGTCTCTCTAAAGGAGAAGGCCTGATCCTCCCTCTCCAATGGGTGTCCTGCTGCTGACTTCCAGACTGGGTGAGTCAGACCCAGTGTGTGGCTGGGGAAGGGGAGGCTTTGGAAGACAAATTATACTTTGTTAAGTGATTAGAAGACATACTGACTTAAATAAGCACCCAGCTCCTTTTTACACTTGGAAGTTTTTCATGCTGGTGTAGTTATGCCAGGAAACTCCTCCTACATAATTGGAGTGCTTTTTGCCTGCAAAATGCATTCCAGTTTGGCAAGCAATATAAGCCATAACATCAAACCCACCATTTTTGCTGGTATAATTGTGTCTACGCTAGGGCTTTTGTTGAAGTAGTTATGTCATATAAATCACCCTACACAGCATAAAGCCTTCAAGTGCAAACTGAAATCTTAAACCTTGTGTGCCCGGCCAGATGTTACTGTGCTTTATGGAAAACCAAGGTATATTTGTCAGAATTTGCTGACCACAGCAGAGACAAAGTCCCATTCAGGATTGTATTAGCTAACCCTGTATCCAGTCTGGTGTAATCTCATTCGGTTTTTGCATAGCTGTGATTGAACAGGGACCCTTTAACTTGCCTTAAACTATATCATATATTAATAGGGCCAGGGTGATATTTACTCTATTTCAGCTTATTTTTCACTAGCTTTACTGACATGTTTCTTCCAATGTACATTACTTTGGTTGTCATCTCAGTTAAATGTATTGAGTAATTTTTCCTTTTAGGCTTTTCATATTTGTTTGGTTTTGATACCATGAACTGCAAGCATATCTAAGATACCAATGAGAAAGAAATGCCGGCCACTTTGATGGATACCCTGCTGGATCTCTAAATACAGACTCCCTAAAATTTTGGGAATATATAAAGTATTTGCAAGCATTAACATAGTAGATTATCAATACAAATGACAATAATATATCTTCTTAGCCAAGCATCAGTTTCTAAGGGATGTCATTAGGCACACTTAGATTAGTTTTCCCCAGCAGACCGTAATTCAGTCTTGCGTTTCTAATAGTCTGCTGCATTTTGTTTTTCTTCCTCATGAGTGTTGCTAGGTTTCCTCAAAAATGCAAATGCAGCCCTTCAGGAAACAATGACACAAGTTTTTATTATTGGCAAGGCTAGGACCTGAAGAAGTCAGAGAAGGTTACTTGTGAGATCACATGGAAAAACATTACTATCTTACAGATACAGTGCAATTACTACTCACTGCAAGTACGAAGTTCGCCTCCAATGAAGCCCTGGAACCAGGTTTATCCTGGAATCAGTCACAGTTTGTTACCAAATTCAGACGAAGTAGATTTAGGCCTATGCTAAATAAAGGAGAAACCTCATTTATCTCTGAGATACAACTAATTCTGCAGTGTGATGTGGACCTGCTCAATCAGCTCTGCCTCTTTTACAGATTTTGAGAATGTCCATGATGATGTTTAAGTACTAGCTAACAGTGTGATAGCTGAACAGTTTGTTAGCAACAGCCAAAGCAGTAAATGAGGAACACTATGTCCTGGTGATACCACTAACAAATGCGACTAGACAATGTAATTACCCAAGTTGGAATTAAATCAGGACATTATACCCTTGTTACAGATAATACCAAGGGATACCTTCTTGCCACAGATAGGGTTTGCACCTCATCCTATTTAGGTACCATTACTCATGGTGTGTTTTTACAGTCCCTTGCAGAGTCTGTCATGTTACTGTGACCTCTGTAGGACTTTACAGGAAAATAATCCTTTGAGAGATCACTGCAACCGGCGCTGAAAGCTACAAAAAGGACAAACTTAAAGGACAAACCAGGGACCAGGTCTGTAGTGGAGCCTTGGCATGTGCTTTTGATCATGGGATACACAGTAGATGCAGTGGCTGAGGTTTGCAGAGACCAGACACTTTGGTATATCATCATATTGGTTTTTGTTTACAAAAGCAGTAAAGGACTAGTGGCTGCTATTTCACTTCAGGCCTTTAGAGGCTCATATTAAAACAACAAAATTACTGCTTCACAACTCAAGCAAGAAGACCCAAGAGTATTTTTCTGAAAACAAACAAGAGTGATGCAAATGCAATTTTAATGCTGGCACGCAACCTGCATGTGTACTGCACCCATTACTTTTGCTTTGGTGTCAGTCTGAAATCACAATATTTATAAGCCTACATAGTAGTTTAAGGTCAATCCTGCTAAGCTAATAGTAAAGTTTTCTCTGACCATCTATTTACCATCTATCAGTGTCACCACTATCACCACAGGAGAATATCATCTCCTCTTTGCTCTGAGAGTTTGTTGTTATCCTCTGCAGCACCAACTGATTTCCCAGTAGAGATAATAATAAATAACACCCATAGCAGTTATATAATGCACCTGCAATTTTCAAAGAGAAGACATAACGAATGATGCCCTTGAAAAGCAGAAACTTTCTTCTTCAAAGAATACTTTGTGTAATTTTGGTAAATAGCCTTAAAAAGTATAACTTAGGTGAAGAAGTGGGAACTAGGCAATTCAAAAGACTCACTGGTGCTTGTGTATCCGTTACCTCCAGACTATGGCACGAGCCTAGACCAGGTGAGTAGTGACAAAGTTGTTGTTGCCTGGCAGCCAAGGGGAGGAAAGGTGGTGGTGCTCCCCTCTCAGGCTTTTCATGAGCTGCTGACCACTATACAAGGACCCGAGACTGAACAATGTATGAGATTAATCATCTCTTTCAACTCTGATCAGGGAATAATCCCTTTTGATCAGGGTGGAGAAGCAATTGCCTTGCATGGGAAGCCAGTCTCGCTATTGCCCAATCTGTACCTACCATATGAAAAATCAGTACAGGCAGACCTGCAGCCAGTCCAAATTGTCAGAGTTTGGGTCATTGATTTCAGAGTAATTACCATCACTTATGCTGCAAGAGAGCCAGCGCAGCAGGGTTTACATACATTGATGTCAGCCTGAAGAGTGCTATGAGCACTACATACATTTATTAAATATGACTACTCTAGGTTGTTCCATCTTATAAAGTTAGAAAATATGCTTCTCAAATGAATCCCTTGGATTTTTTCCCCTCTTACTATATCAGATTTTAAGCTTCCACATTAATTTTACAGCACACAGGGGCAAAACACATAGGTTTAGATTTTATTTTAAGTGCTTTATGGCATTTCTTTGCTGGAAAAGTACTTTTAATTTTTCTTCTTTCTCTTATTTTTCTTTTTCCTTTTTTTTTTTTTGTGCATGCATTCATTAACCCAGTCTCAAATTCTGATATTTCTGGCCTTCACAATCTTTGGTAGATACAAACAGGATGTAAGACAGTACTCACTGAACTCCCATTTCACTGCAAACTTGTAATTTGCCTCTATAAACCACATAACCTGTTCTTCTGCTAGTGTAAGGTATGTGGCCTCAGCAAATGATATATTAGAGTTTAATACCATTAATATACAAGACAAAAACCTAAGAAAAAGTATACCTGTCCTTACACATTACAAGACACACAGAGAATACCTTTACTAACAATATTGAAGAAGCACAGTTGCAGCCTCATTGTGTAATAGCAGCCATTTCTATTGCTCCACGGTACATTGAACCGCACCAACAGACTGTGATTAATGAAATTAACTAATTAAAACCTTCTCCAACCTGATTTGAGATTTAGTTAGTCAAAGCAGTTGTTTATTTCCCATATGACAAAGCAACAGGGGGTTACTATAATTGAAAAGTAATAGTAAATAATTTGGAGAGTATGGGCTTTATGAATGTTTACTGAATGTCTGAGCAACAGATTTGAACAACCCAAACTCATCCAAACATGAAGAAAACTCCATGTTTCCCTGCCCTTAATTTCTGGATGCCGTAATGCCCCAGTGGTTCAGGTCTGCTTCACTGTGCATGAGCAGATGGGACACAAAACCCGCATGACTGGGGCTGCTGGCCAAGCTCCCTGCTTGCAGCACACCTCTGAAGCAGGCAGCTGGCAGAGCCACAGTGCTGTGGGGCACCCAAAGACAAGCTGGGAGAAGAGCCTGTGCAAACGGAGTATTGAGAACCTGGGATGATAACAGACCTGATTTATCTCTTGTCTCAAGGCTGGCTTATGGTCTGCACATTGATCAACCCAAACAGCACAAGTCAGCATGGTAAACAGCCCCACATTTGCCTTTGGTATCCTTAATCAAGATGCCTTTCCATCTCTGCAGTTGCCATGACTATTTCATATTAATGTGGTAGCACACATCTTTTCACCTGTCTAGAGCCTTTAACACATAAAGCATATAAAATAAACCTGCAAAGGGTCTCATCCTAGCCACAGTGGTAAAGAGTTTCTCATCATTTACATGGTACTTTTTCAGCAAAGAAATACTTATCTGGGGGAGAGGTGCAGGAACTTACTCATCTACTGACTTCAATGCTAAATAGTGTGCCTGATCACACCTCCCAGAAGCTTCTCTATTGCTGATTATCCTACTCTTCCAGCAGCTCAGCCTCCTGATCAGGGATTTATCCAAGTAACATGCAACTTTTCCAAATAGCATTTTCTCTTGCAAACAGCCATCTCATCACTGATCAATTCCGTGCTCATTAGTGACTCTGGCTTCACAGTGGACCAAGTATTTGCTTTGTGTAATTTAAAAAGATCTGGTGCTTTCAACTGGAGCTGCAAATTAAATTGCCGGAATCACAGAGCAGACTTGGGCTTCGAGGAAGAAAGTTCACTCGAGTAAAAGTTTGATGATCATAATGGAAGAGAAAGTAAATTTTGCCTGGGTTGAATTTCAGCTTGGAGGAAAGGCAAATCAGGAACATGCAAAGGCTTGAAGGATAATTCCGTAAACAGAAAAGGTACCTTATCAGATAAGCTTTCACATTAATGTTTTTGTATCCAGTCCCATTCAAAAGAAGTTAATTTCTTTGGTGCCAACAGATCGTGTTAAGATCAGTTCTGAACCCCTGGAGAAAGATGTTGTGGTCGGCAGTCTCTGTTTCTGAGCCACGACTGAATCCGCAATGAGGAGGACAAAGGAAGGATTTTTCAGCACAACATGAGTGAAGAGCCTACAGTCCTGTGAGAAGACTGTTAGAGGAGCAGGCCCCAGGAAGCAAAGTGGGGACTAAAGAGGGAGATAGACAGTGATAGAATTCTGAGTAGCCTGTCACTTCATTCTGTTTTTTAACTTTGTTCTTGTTTTCCTGATGCTCTCCACTGTTTTTCCTTCTCTCCCATTCATGTTGTGTTTGAGAAACCATTCCTCTCCATGGACTTCAATGCACTTTGGATAAACCCTATAATATGTTTGCAGTTTGTTGATTTTTTTAACATACTTGCTTCACAGTCTTTGTGCCATATTTTGCTTCTTCAGGTGAAACAACAAAACTTTATCATTTGGTCTATTTCCAAAGAGGGGCGAATCATAGAATAGTTAGGGTTGGAAGGGACCTTAAGATCATCTAGTTCCAGCCCCTCTGCCATGGACAGGGACATCTCCCACTAAACCATGTCACCCAAAGCTCTCTCCAACCTGGCCTTGAACACCACCAGGTATGGAGCATTCGCAGCTTCCTTGGGCAACCCATTCCAGTGCCTCACCACCATTACAGTAAAGAACTAATACTCTGCCCTTGTCAGAACTAGCATGCCAGCTCATCTTTTTAGGCCTTTAGAAATCTGTGCTCCTCCAAACATAGGTTTTCACTGCTGTTACATGGACAGATTTACAAAACAGTAAATTGCTTGCTCCTTTATGCAAGAATTATGATCACAGAAATACAGTGAATTCCTTATTTTCCCTGGAAGCTGTCACTGAAAAAAACATTTTATAGAACCTGATGTGACTGATTTAGTGTTATTTTATAGGAATACATGGATTCTGTATGATGGCTCACTTTTAAGAATGTTTACTTTTTGAGTAGTGATCACTATATAATTATCACTATTAATCCAAAGGAGGCTTACTCCTCACAGTGTATTGATGGCTCATCAAAGCCCATTCAACTTTCAGTAAGGAAAAAAAAGTTTTTGTCTCCTGATTTAACCTCATGAGTAACCGCAAAGAAGCAAACAAGGAGGAAGGATGACTCAGAAGTTGTTTCTCTACAGCAAACACTCAAGATTGTTAAGAGACTGTGCCAGTATTATTGATCTGAAGATAAAGAAATAACAGGCATTTTCAATGTGGCAAACAGTGAGGTTAAAATACTGAAGAACCCTGCCCATGTATATTAGATGTTGGGCGATTCCAGACCAAAATCCCAAATTAAGTTTTGCGTTGTTTATTTTTTCCCCTACAGAATTAACCAGCACTAAAATATTTCACCTATCTTAAGATACCAAAACTGCTCAAGTCTCAGCGAAATTGAGTGCCCACAACTGTAATGTGATGGCTGCTTCAGTAGCCCTGCCAAGGAGACCTCGCCAGCAGGGCTTCGGGGAGGCTCCAGCTCAGTGGTTCTCAAACTGAGATTATAATACATATATCAGGACTTCAGTTATTCTTTCTTACTTTCCTTCCCCGTTTTCTTATTGGCTCTGGTATCAAAGACCTTCACTTTGTAACCCTGGACTTCAGAATAAATTCACCCAGCCCCCCCAGGCCCCAGTGGAACAGGATTCCTTCCTTCCCCAGTGACAACACACTTAAAGTAGGATTCTCTAGGACATGGCCAGAAAAACAAAACCACACAACTGCAAATACCCTACAAAGGGCATACTGCAAGTGGGTCAACTAAACAGGGGAACGTGGGTCAGCGACAAATGATTCTCATGTCTGCAACAGTTCCTCCTAACTGTGTCTGCACATCTGTTGTGCCATATCTCTCTCTATGCTTGCTAGCAGCTTTATAAATCTCTGGGCCACTAAGCAGATTTTCTCTTCAAAACCTGTGGCCCAAATTCTTAAGAACACATTATGGTCCCTAAAAGGACAGAGTAGTGCGTGTGTGCATGCATGTGTTTACATGTTTGTTTAAAAAGCAGGGATGATGACCTAAATTATGCTGCCTGTACGTAATAATCAGTGGAAATTTGCCTGAATAAGAGCAAGAGCACTAAGATCTCTGGTGGGTTTTTTTTGTTCTTGGGTTTTTTGTTTTGTTTTTGTTTTGTTTTTCTCATCTGCATTCAGTACACCTTATGTTGGTTAACTCTGTGAACAGTATAAATAGTGGAAGTCAGGGAGTCATGCCTAGAAGCTAGCAGCCATGTCCTCTGCCTTCTCAGGTCCAGAATGCCTCCTATTAAAGACTGCAGCTCAGCTTTTTAATTGTTCCTCATACAGACAAGAGTAAAAATATATTCCAGTGTTTCTGAACCCTAGTCTTATATTGACTGTTGTTTTTCTGAGGAGCATCCTTTCCCCTCAAAATGCAGTCCAAAACAGCAAGAGACCACACAGCAGAGCATTACATACAGGGGGCACTTGATGAAACTACCAGCCAGTGGTTTTGGAAAGACAAATTGTGTATTTCAATTTGATTGAGAACATCCTAGGGATGTTGGAATGGAAGGATTTCTTATATTGATGGCATGGGCTGGGAGCTCACTCACCCAGTCCTGTTCTGTGGCCTTAGATGGCAACTCCTAGCACCACCTTGGGCAGATTAATTATCTCCTGGTTACATTTAGGAAAATCAGGTGAATGGCTTTCCAAAGATTTTTTTCAGAATCCTCAGTGATGTGAAATGATTAAATTAGGATTAACAATATTTCTAAAAAGACACACTTCTTCAGTCACAGGTTGGTTGGTCCCATACAGGAATTACCAGGTTAAATTGTACAATGTAAGCAGAAGTTCAGTATAGATCATACAATGGTTTGGGTTGGAAGGGACCTTAAAGCTCATCTAGTTCCAACCCTACTATGACCAGGGACACCTTCCACTAGACCAGGTTGCTCCAAGCCCTGTCCAG